CTAGGGAAGATCAGTGTTCTTAAGGGTTAAAAATGCCTTTACTCCATATTGCACCTTCATCTGGCTAGAATAATTTCTCTTTCAAAGGCGGAAGGTCATAACCTCGATTAAATATCGACACGATATTTGTTTTTACTCTCTCTTCTCCCTATAGGATCCGCCATCTGCTCTAAACAGAGAGGTCTTGATATATCTAAAATATATGATTATCGCAACATTATCACCATTTGCTAAATGCTGGACTCTTCAAACTTGCTCAGCTTAGTTTATGGTGCTAGTTGAAAATTGCAGTTGGAAAGATCAGAGTTGCGGCTGGGCCAATGTCATTTTGTTTTTCTCATTTTTCAAACATATAAAATGCCAGAACTTTGTTATAAAAAAGGCAGATCCTCCTAAAAACTTGCCAACACTTTCAAAATGAAAATGATCATTTCACAGTAGTGCCCCCCTTTTAATGTCACCTTCTGAAAGCCTTTTTCTTAGTTTTTAAAATCAAAGATACATTCCTTAATGAAATCAGGAATATTTCCTGAAATATTTTCAACTAAATAAATGTATTTCACAACAAACAAAACACACTAATGCCAAAACCATGCAGCATAAGTGATCTTTAAAAGTGTACACCAGGGGTGCCTGGGTGGCTCAGGGGTTAAGCCTCTGCCTCTGGCTCAGGTCATGATCTCAGGGTCCTGGGATCAAGTCCCACGTTGGGCTCTCTGCTCAGCGGGGAGCCTGCTTCTCCTCTCTCTCTCTGCCTGCCTCTCTGCCCACTTGTGATCTCTCTGTCAAATAAATAAATAAAATCTAAAAAAAAAAAAAAAAAGAAGTATACACTATACAAACACAGAAGGAAGAAATCGTTCTGGGGATTTCTGCAAACCACATCAAAATGGTGCACATTTTGGAAATCTCCAGCTAGTTAACTGCATACAAAGAGGTCATTACAGTTTATTGAATAAACACTGCTTTTCTACTGCTTAATATATACATATTTATATAAGACAATGGATCCAGAGAAATCGCTTGACAGTTTGCATGTTACAAGTCCCTGAATGGAAGACACATTTACATAGCAATGTTTCTTAAGTCTCTAACGTAGGTAAGAGAAATTATGATGGCTTTTTAAAGAGAAAGAACTCAAAATCAAAATGTTTTAAGAGTAGCTAATTTGTTCGTCATCCCACAAATAATTACAGCAAAACTAGTGACTCTAAAACCTAAAAAGGGTATTGGTGCAAGCACAAGTATACACAGATCTAGAAAACTGGAAGTCCAGAAATAAATGTTAACATTTATGATTAACTGATACTTGACAAAGAGGCCAAGACAATGGCAAAAGAATCATTTTTTCAAGGAGGCTGGGGCAACTGGATATCCATATGTAAAAGAATGAGCTTCGACTCCTTCCTCACACCATACACAAAATTAACTCAAAAAAATTCTAGACCTAAAATTAACAGTTAGAACTACATAACTCTTAGAAAAAACACAGGCTTTTATAAATCTTCATGACCTTGAATCAAGCAATGATTTCTTAGATAAGACACCAAAAGCAAAGTGTCAAAAAGGGGGGGGGATTCATGTGACTTTATCAAAATCTAATACTTTGATACCTCACAGGATACCATCAGTAAATTGAGAAGACAGGTCATAGACTGGGAGAAAATATTTGCAAATCATATATTGACAAGGGACATGTATACACACTATCTAAACAATTTTTCGTAAGTGTGTAATAGAAAGGCAAATTGCCCAATCAAAAAATGAGCCAAGAATCCAAAGAGCCATTTCTCCAAAGAAGATATACAAATGGCCAAGAATCACACGAAAAGATGTTCAACATCATTAATCATTAGAATCAAAACAATGAGATACTACTTCACACCCACATGGCATAATCAAAAAGACAGATAAAAATGTTGGTGGGGTGACGGTAGCTCAGTTGGTTAAGCATCTACGAAGGTCATGGTCATGAACCCAGGGTCCTAGGACTGAGCCCCACATCAGGCTCCCTGTGCAGCAGGGGGAGTCTGCTTCTCCCTCTGCCCCTCCCCCTCCTGCTTGCTCTCTCTCTCCCCCCACAAACAAATAAAATCTTTAAAAAAATGAATGTTGTGAGAATATGAAGAAACTGAAATCTCCATATACTGCTAATGAGAATGTAAATTAGTGCAGCCACTTTGGAAACAACTGACAATTGAATTGTACACTTTAAACTGGTAACTTTATGATATGCAAATTATGTATCAATAAAGCTATTAAAAATCTTAAAAAATTGAAAATAAAAAAATCTTAAAAATGATTTTATATCACTTACAATGACATGTAATCATGATTCTTCACATCAAAATATCACACATAAACACTTTTATCAATCCCAATATACTGAGCCCTTTATATAATACACTAGACCTTTAGTGTGTTTTTTGAAATTATTTTAATCCAGAAATTCTTAGTATCACTTTTTAAGAGTCTTTCACCAGATGACCTGAATTGTTTTTATTTTACTTTCATCTTATATACACATAATTAAATATCTTTTTGTGCTTGAAAAGAAATGTCTACAGACGCATTTCTGAAGAACTGAATAGGAAAAAAAGGAGAAATCACAATGCTCTCTCATAAAACAATGAACATAGAACAAACTCTTAAGTAGTCAATGATAATCAAAGAGATGAACCAAAGCCCTGATGTTCTCATCCGTTCAGTATTTGGTACTTCTACTTATTATACCGCCTATCACAATGTTCATTTTTATATAAATTCCAATCCTTCCCATATTCGCTCACCCACACTTGGACTACTTGGTTGTCTACGCAACGTTCATGAACCTACTCAATGAGCTCTGGCCCAAACAGCCACATCCACACTCTCCTTCCTACAGATGTCTATATATGATATCAAATGCTAAGTCGAAGGATGAAGAATACGTAATTGACACAGTTCAGCCAGGCATCCTGCGGTAGACAAGATATCCATGTAGTAATACTACTATGGCAAACTTGATGAGGCTCCAGGTAGCCCCACAGTACAACAGCTATTACTAAACTTCAAGAATAACCAGGTCGCTAAGAACGCAAATTAACACGGAAAAATTCCACCTTCAGAGTCTGAGTCCTACCACTTGGACATCACCAGTCATATTATTTCCACGTTCTTCACACAATACCTTCAAGAAAGAGGGGATAACTGTAAAATTTCTAACTCCTAAAATTGGAAACTGGAACACAGAACTGGCATCCTACACTAGGAAAATACTTAAACCAGAGTGATTTATCAATTTTAAGTATATGAGGGATTATTATTAAGAAGGCATCTGAGGGTGCCTGGGTGGCTCAGTCAGTTAAGCATCTGCCTTTGGCTCAGGTCAGGAGTGTCGGGCTCCCTGCCTAGCAAGGAGTCTGCTTCTCCCTCTCCCTCTGCTGCTCCCCCTGCTTGTGTTCTCCAATATAAAGTTAAAAAAAAAAAAAAAAAAAAAAAAAAGGAAGAAGAAGGCAACTGAAGCAGATTCTCCAGCCCCAGTCAAGCTTTGAGATAACCACAGCCCCAGCCAAAATGTAGGCTGGAGCCTAGGGAGAAACTCTGAGGCAGTGCTACAGCAGTAAACCACTCCGTAATTTCTAAACTGAGATAGTAAAGTTTATTTTTTTTTAAGCCACTTAAAAACACAAACATACAAAAACCACTCAGCAATCTTCATCTCCACGCAGTCTTAAGTAAAAATGCAGGGATTTAAATTATAGCAGAGTGAATTTATGCTGTATGTCACCTAAAATTTCTTAACTTGAAAAGCATTTAATGAATAAATACTTTAGTAAGAGGAATTTTAAAGCAACTCCTTCCTGAGGTCAACAAAAACAAGTGAGAGAGTTGGTTTTATTTTTGTTTTTTTTCCCCCCAGGAGTGAATCAGCTGCAGATCTAAGCTACAGAATGTTAGATTAAATCTGTAATTCCTACTGACTGATCCCACAGACGTTTTTAAGAGAGGCTGCTGAGGCTACAGCTTAAGGATAACCATAAGCGGGGCTGTAGGAAGGAAGACGCTGCCTGGCTCCCAACCAGAAATCAGAGCTGGGGAATGTGGTCTTCATGCTGTGGAATAGAATCGGGATCTATAGCAGCTGCAATGGGCTCCCATTACAATGAGCTAAAACCAGTGTTTGAGAAATATGAAGTAATGACCAGTATGCTTTCCTGCCCCATCAGTCCATGAGGCAGCAAACCGAAGGAAAGCAACAGATAACTACCAAAAACATTCAAAAACCATTTGGTAGCTGAACCTCCGAGTAGCCATTCCAAAAGGCATACACTGCTACAGAAATAACCACAGACCACCTCATTTTCCCTGAGTTCCAAACTGGATATGAAGTAATATTCAACATTCCAGTACACTAACAGTATTTTTGTTATAAAAATGGTTTAAAAATACCACTGGTTAATAAAAATAAAAAAAGAATTAACTTGACTAATCCTATAAGCAGGAAGATTCTTTAATTTTACAATTTACTGTGTTGATACATAAACATGTAAATGTACAAAAGAATTACTTTCCTCTCTTAATTTTTAAGTAGCACTAAGATAATGAAAACACACCAGAAATAGGTCCATAAAAAAAGCTGTAATTGTTCCAAAACTTCATTAAGGCCTGCAAGAGACTTCTACAATGAGAGCTAAAAATGTGAGTTTAATTGTTCTTTTGTTATTTTTAAATGCTATTTTTTTGTTCGTGGAAGGGACATTTCAAAGTGCTAGATGTTAGTTCCGGTGACAGCTCTGTTTTTCTTGCTTTGTATCTACTCCAAAGAAACAGATGAGGTGAGAAGCACTGAGGTCTCAGCTTCCCCAAAAGATGACGGTCTTACAATTTCACCACATTGGTCTTTCTCAAAATTTCTCTGAATAGTCAAACATTAAAAATATTATGGATAAATTAAAAACCAAACCGAACCTCCATGTCCACCCCAAGTCACTATGTAATGGCACACACAAAGCGTTTACCTTCTTCCCTCCAGTCACAAACTGCTTGCAGCTGGATCTCACGAAATGCGGGTGCACGGCAATGATCTACAAGGGAATGAGGACCCATCATTGGTTTAGGAGTTACAGTTAAAGCACGGAATGAAAATTCTATATACTTGACAGGCAGCATAATCTAAAAATTATCCTGATAGCTAGGGAAGAATTAATCTATTCAGGTAATAGTCTGCAACTGAGGACATCTGAGTTTTTGCTCTCTTGTGAAAAGATCTCTCCTGTGAAGCCAGGTCAAAGCTAAAAGATGAGAGTGAATTAGTTCTAGTTTCTGGCTGAGTGAGGTTTCTCTGAGTGGGCATCCCCTCTCTAGGCTCAATCGAGGCAACAAGATATCACGAATGTTTGTAACTGAATAGGATTCATAGAAGAAACCCAGAGAAAGTACCCAGCCATCTCCTTGTCCCGGATGCCTTCCAATGATTTGAGGGCACCAACTGGAACAGGTGGGGCAATGGTTTTTATCTTACTCAACTGTGGTTATCAACTTTGTGTTTTTAGGGCCAATCTCTATCCGGAGCTCTACATTCACGTTTCCGAAACATCCATACCATTTTCACCAGATGTACGAGTTATCTGAACTCAAGACCTAATTAGCAACGTCCTGACTCAAAACATCCCTTCCTGCAACTGATGGCATCGCCATGTACCACCACCACAGCAAAAACCAGCTCCTGCCTCCTCCCTCACCCCATCCAATCCTTCACAATGGCCTGCAGTCAAGTAGACCTCCTATCGGCTTTCTACATTCCCGTCTTCGACTTCCCCTTGAATACTCCTGATGCTCTTGTTACTGAGGTCCTGTGATGCCCTGCCTCGAGGACATCACTAGCCTCCTAAATTGCCTTTGGCCTGCAATCCCTCTCCTGCTTAAATCACCCTCCATGCTGGAGATGCCTTTGGAAAACACATATCAGATCCTATTCTCTTTTACCTGTTGATCAATAAGGGTTTGAATAAACAAGTGAAAACAATGGATGACCTCTCCCTTCAACAACTCTAATCGTCACTTTACTGACCATAACTGTTATCTAAGACCGCTCTTCCTGCCGCACAGCTATCAGCTCTCCAATCTATACTGTATATAGTTGCCATATTCATTTTCCTTAAGCGTAGCTCAGTTTATGTCACTTCTCTGCTCTTAAACATTCAATAATTTCTCCTTATCTACCATATGGAGTCTAAATTTCTTAGCCTGAAAACAAAAGCAGCCCCAATCTGCCCGTACAGCTCTCCTGCCAAGTCAGTGTATTATGTGCCATCTAAACTAGGCTTTTTTTTTGCCACTTCCTGAACACAGTTTGAACTTTCTGGCCTCTCCGTTTACATTACATTGTTCTTCCACATGGAAAGCCAGTTTCTCTGTCTGCCCTGTCCATTTATTAAAGCCCACCCAAATATCACTCCCGCTGTGAAGCCATCACTAAAACAGACAACTAAAGTAACTCCTCTTGGCTTTGAACTCCTTAATATTGTTTGTACCTCTTTAGTCTTTAATCACAGACTGTGTGTACATATCCTCTCACTCACTACAAGAAAAGATTCCTGGGGACAGACTGACAGCACAGTTGTATAACAAACATCCTGTGCTCTTTTATGCCATCAAGTGGTATCTAGTGCTTCCTTAAGTGTTGAAGAGATGCTTACTGACCAAATTAATGCAACACTGGTAGGGCTCAAAGCGCTGTAATCCTTACTGCCTCCACTGAGAAAGCCCTTAGAAAAATTAAAACTTACTGTATACTTACTTTAATGGGACAGTCAAAAGTCTCATGAAATTCTTCTCCAGAATACAGTCCAAACACCTGCACCTGAAAAGTAAAATGGATCCTGTCAGTTCACCCTGACAGCAACAAAGAAGGCTGCTGATTCAGAAAGAATACAAACTATTGATTAAAAAAAAAAAGCAGAATATGTAATAATCTAAAGCCCCTGTGATCTCTATTAACTATCCAATGAAAACAATTCTATCAGGGTGAGAGTACTCCACTGCAATTAAGGTTTTATTAGCATCTCATGGATAGAGTTCCCTTTACTCACCACAAATTTGTTTTATTAAATGGATGCCAGCTTTTAAAAACGAACTAGATACGGATAGGTTATTAATATTCTTTTATGAACTTCCCATAGGCTCCCCTAAAGGAATTATTTTTTCCTTCCCTTGAAGGAAAAAGGTCCTTCTTTTTTGAGTCATATATATATAATCAACCATGCAGATAAATGTGGCAAGAGATTAGGTGAACTGCACTTCATTTATAATCTTACATTGATTCTACTGCAAGTGTATAAATTAAGATTTAAGTTTCTACTTACCATCTAACAACCTTAAAGTTGTTCCAGACTACTTTAACCATACCAAATCTCTGAGTGGTTTACTTAAAAACGGAATAATATACATTATTGCAAAGGGTACGAATCATACATTTACAGCTTGATAAACTTTCATGACCTAAGCACATCCCTGCAGACACCACCCAGATCAAGAACTAGAACCCAAGAAGCACCTCTGTGTTTCCTCGTGTTCTTTGTCCACCTAACAAATGAGCCGCTACTCTAAACTCCATCACCACAGATGAACTGTGCTGGTGTCTGAATTTTATATACACAGGAACATGAATTACTTCACTGGTTTCTTTCACTCACCATCTTCCTTACAAGATTTACCCAAACTCTTATGTATAGCAGTAGCTGGTTCTCTGTCATTGTAATATAGTATTTCAGTGTATGAATATACCATAATTCATGTATCTGCCTTTTGTTGATCATTTGGGTTGTTTCCAAATTGGGGCTATTATAAATAATGCTGCTATGTACACTCCTTACAAATCTTTTGGGGCACTAAGATACACATTTGTGAAGAGTACATAAGTAGGACTGGAACTACTGTCATAGGCTATGCATCTGTTCACATTTAATAAACAGCCAAAGCATTTTGCAAAGGGGTTTTGATCAATTTACACTCTCATCAGCAGAGCTTAAGATTCCAGGAGCTCTCAGATACTTGGAGCTATTAGGGGCACCTAGAACTACTTCCCAGCACTTGGGAGACTCTTCTAGTCTCTAGAAGAGGGGTATTACTTCTTCCTTACTTTTGTAAGAATTCACTAGTGAAGCCATCCAGGGTGGGGTCTATGTGAGAAAGTTTTAATTACAAATTCAAATTTTTAAGTAGTTATAAAACTAGTCAGACTTTTGATTTCTTCTTGTTTTCATCTTAGTAAGTTGTGAGTGGTTCATTTTTGCGAGTTCGAAGAAGAAAATTTACTTGTGATACAATTTTTGGAGACAAATTTATTCATGAAGAGATAAAATTGTAAGGGCAACCATTTTGTGACTACTGTTTTTACATCCTGTGCCAAGTATGTTTTCTGGGTTCCAACAACAGCACATGGTACACTGTAACAAAGAGGGTATATGATTTTCCCCAAGGAGGTCTATTGAAGGTATTCTTGATGTGATCCCTGGATACTAATGGCCAGACCCTAGTTCTGGTGGGATGGAATGGTATTTTAATTCATTTAAAATTTATTTAAATTGGGGTGCCTGGGTGGCTCAGTGGGTTAAGCCTCTGCCTTCGGCTCAGGTCACGATCTCAGGGTCCTGGGATTGAGCCCGGCATGGGGCTCTCTGCACAGCAGGGAGTCTGCTTCTCTCCCACCCTACCTCTCTGCCTACTTATGATCTCTCTCTCTCTCTCTCTCTCTCTCATAAATAAATAAAATCTTAAAAAAATAAAATGTATTTAAATTATTTATTAAATTTATTTAAAACTTACTTAATTTAATTATAAATATTTAAATATTTAATTATATGTAGCTAGCACTGAAAATCCTGCCCTGCCTCATGCAGTCCTTATAGCAACACTGGTAGGTATGATAGCAAACACCATTATGCCTACTAACCAGGTGATCCTGCAGAAAAATAAAGGACTTGGCCAAGGTTGTAAGAAGCAAGAAGAGTTTTCCAAGCCCCTATTCTCTTACACACTAACATTATATGAGACAGTTTAAAAGATGGAAATAAGATATCTTTTTACAGAAAGTGTAGGAAAAGTGGAATCGGAAAGGGAATGATGGAATGAGGGAATGATAGAGGATTTTTGAATGTTTTATCAAAAACCTCAAATATTTACCAAAATAAAGGGAAGGTGAATGTCAGACTCTGTATTAGGCAACTCTGTGATCAAAGCTGACACTAAATGAAGCAGACCATTCATTCCAAAGGATAAGATTCCGTCTGGCTACAAGAAGGTAAAGGTGATTTTAAGAACAAAAGCTATGTGATTTTTATGGTGGGGAAAAGTATATGAGATGTAAATAAATGAAGTATAAAGCCCTCTGAAAAAGACTGAGGCATCAGTAAACAGAAGATAAATATTAGGACTGTGATTTGAATGGTGAAATTAAATTAAAAATTACCAGGGATAACTGCCCCTTTAAAAATTATGAACCCACATTAAAAAAAAAAAACAAAACCCATATTGGAGATGTAATAGTAGAATAAGGGGGAATCAAAAGAAAAGTGAACAGACTAGGTTCTTGGTTCTGGGTTCATACCCTACTGCTACGTTTGACTGAATAACCTCTTCAAATATTCCTGTTTCCTCCTTCAGTATGGAAAACACTAGAACTTCCACAAGACAGCTCTCATAAACTTGATCGGTACAACCAGGGTGATTTGTAAAATCTGCACTGTTTTGGTTCATTTCACTAATGTGACAGGCCAAACGAGCTGGTCGTAAGTTATAACACCATAGCTAATAAAATCCAAAACAGTTTTTATTTATTTCTTCTCCCTCCTCTTTATTTATTTTGCCATTTTTGTCAGTGAATATCATACTCGTCTGTGGAAGGAACCTGCTGAATGTCTGCCTAGAGAGTTCTGGCTTTAAGGAAGATCTCATCCCAGGTAAGAACATGTAATTAAAGGCTAAAACAGAGGGGGTCTTTTTGAAAATGGTATCCTCTAACAACCTCCCCCAACTAGTCATAAAAATACCTAATGAAGAAAAAGAGAAAATTCAGAGCAGGAGCCCTTACGGCCAATCTATGACAGTCCTGGCAAATTTCTCATTAACGCCAGACCCGTAGGGCCATGTGAGGACCACGGAAGGCATGTGATATGTTTTACTGCTTAAAGAAAACCTGCCCTCATGGAACCGTAAGAAAGGTGTAGATCTTCACCAAGTGAGCATGGAGTTCTATGTATTTGCCAACCAGAAAACCGGGCAATGTAGCCCATCTGATGGAAAGGAACCATGAGCGAGGTGGCCAGAGGCTCAGACAACCTCCCCGGCTGTACTTCCCTTGAAAAGGCCTTTCTCTCAAACCCCAGTTTCCAACAGAAACAGGGCAAGTAGGAACAGGAATGAACATGGAAGCTGCCTTCCATCTGGGGCAGGAGCTGAAGAGACCCTCCCAGAGGAGATTGGATTTCCTTTTCTCCACCCATGAAGAGTGTCAGAGATGCAGGAGCAGCAGCAGTGGCTCCCATGTCACTGGGGGAGCTGTCTTAACCGATGAGCTCTGGTCAGAGGGTATCAAGCTCATTTCCCGGGGCCCTTGCATGGAGAGAAGAAGGTGATTCCACAACACCCAAAATGCTAACAGGCAGGGCCAAGAGCAATCAGACGCAGACTCTGTTTGCTAACCCGGATTCAGAAAGAGCTCTTCTTGTTCTAGAACGAATAAAAAAGCAACAAAAAACACACACAGGTCTGTAAAAACGATATTGCAGAACACAATTCCGATGACTCAGAGGGGAAAAAAAGCATGCTTTTTAAAATGTTTACTAGTAGCCAGAAAAGAAAGAAAACTGGAAAACTGTCCAGTGACTTCACTAAGAAAAGACGTCTGTGAGTCTGGAGCCGAAAGATGACCTGATGATCGCTAGCGATTACTACATGTTTCTTCTGTCCCTCTACTACTCCAAACAATTTATAAATATTAACTCATTTATTTCTAATAATCAATGAGGCAGGTACCATCATTATCCCCAATTTATAGAGGAGGAAACAGACTGAGGCACAGAGAGATAGGAATAATGTACCTGACATCACACAGCTAAAATGTGGCAGCATAATTCCATTCCTAGCCTTTAGACTATAGTACGTGGCACTCTAACACACAAAAGGGACACTGGCTGCCCCAGTCGGTTGAGCATCTGCCTTCGGCTCAGGTCATGATGCCAGGGTCCCAGGATGGAGCCCCACATCGGGCTCCCTGCTTGGTGGGAAGCCTGCTTCTCCCTCTCCCTCTGTCTGCAGCTCCCCCTGCTTGTGCTCTCTAGCTCCCCCTCCATCAAATAAATAAATAAAATCTTAAAAAAAAAAAAAAAAGAAAGAAATACAAGAAGTTGTAAATTTTTTAAATTAAATATATATCTGGCTGATACGAAAATAGAGCCAGGAGCAAGAGAAAGACTTCAGGAAAATTAAACATCCAAGATGGAATAAAATGCTATTCCATGAGGCAACATGGAGACTGGGATAAAAGCAAATCAGCAAAGGGAACAAACAAGAAACTCCCTAACTACAGAGAAAGGAGAAGGAGAAAATGAGAAAGAAAAGCACATACATGTGTGTGTGCCCACGTGTGCATCACACACGCAGTATGACCGGTTTTCCTAACAATATACATACTTTCGAAAGGAGAAGGGTTAATGGTGCTTATCCATTCACCCTCTTTCCTTGAAAAGTTTAGCTACAATAATGCAGGAGGGGGGAAACGCCAGTTTGCGATGGGTTAAGAAGTGAATGGTTAGCAGTAAAAACAGGTGACATAAACCCAGAGCGCTCACCATACACCCAGCACCTGGCAACGTTCCCAGGTGGCCCCCTAGCATGCCCAGGGCCCAGTGGAGGAAGCAGCGGAAATCCCGCCCAGGCAGGCTTGGAATACAGAGCCAGTGCTTAGCCTCTGCCCCAGAACTGCCTCCAGTCTAAGTATTATTGGGTTTCTTTGAAGAAATGAAAATAAATGGAATTGAAGCAATAATCAAAATCAGAACTGAAGTAAACTTTCCTGAAATGAAAACAATACTTCAGTATATGGATCAAAAGGACTTACTGTGTTCCAGACAAAATTAATGAAAATAGACCTGAACAAGACATAACTTAGCAAACTGAACTACAAGGGCCGTATATTGTTGTATTATTGTTGTTATTATTATTAGTCTAAGCTCCAAGGTAGGACCAAAAAAAAAAAAAAAATTTAAAGGTTTTGTGAAAGAACAAAAGAATGCTAGCCTCAGACATGTTTACAAAAATAAAGGTCAGACAAAAGGAAGCAACATCTCCAAAATTTTAAAAGAAAATATCTCCACCCTGAACTCTACACTAAATTGATTCTAGCTTATGTATGAAGGTGATGTATATTATCTAGGGGTCTTAATACACTAAAGAAAGAAAAATCACAACAGCCATTTAAAGATGCATTAGATCTAAATATCTTTGTAATATTCTTTGTGTTTATCTTTGTAATAATCTTTTTGTGTTTTTATCATTACTGACCGCTTTGCCAGATCATTCTATACTAGCTACTCAATTTTCCCAATACTGCTAGCTTACATAAATTATGTGCACCAAAATATTTATTTTCAGTTCTATCAATGCTAATAAAACATATGTGAAAACGGTTTTAAAAAATGTATCACAAGGGGTGCCTGGGTGGCTCAGTCGTTAAGCAACTGCCTTCTGCTCAAGTCATGATCCCAGGGTTACGGGATTACCACCCCCACCCCCCATCCCCCGCTCTGTGGGAAGACTGCTTCTCCCTCTCCTGCTCCCACTGCTTGTGTTCCCTCTCTCCCTGTGTCTTCCTCTGTCGAATAAATAAAATCTAAAAAAAAACAAAACCAAAAAGTATCACAGGTCTACACCAAAATACGGCAGTTAAAAATCTGCCTAAATTGGAAAACAGGTATTTGCCAAGAAGTATACCGGGTGATATCTGAGGGTCATTATACACTAGACAGAATTAAAATATCCCACTTTGCCGTATCAAATAATAATCATTCAACATTTAAAGCTCTGAAAATTCTCTGATGAAGTTATTTCAGTAAAAATTATTTTCCAATTTGAAAAATGAATATTCTCTTCCAACAATTTAGTTCAACTAAATTGGCTGTCAGCCCAGAACAAATTCCTTACCTTTAAGGACAAAAATAAATAAATAAAGATGACCTTCCTTTACAAATTCATAAATACTAAAAGATAATTCTCAATTTCCATATGTACCAGGCTCCTCCCTCACCTCCCTGACAGTCTGGTCCACCTCAGGATTTTAGAAAGTACTGTAAAATTTGACAGTGATCTTTGGAAAGCACAGGGCTCCAACTACCATTTCAAAGGACCCTTTGGGCAACATTAAAGCTTAGATATATAAAATGCATTCTTGTGTGTCAAGAGGACTTCATTTTTCTTTTGCTAATAGATCAAATGGGTATAAATCTTTTACACGGAGCACACTGTTTTTCATTTACTCGTCTTAATGACCCATTGAATTTAGATCATGTAAAAATACAAAATCAGATTAGAAAATGTGCTCTATTCAGTCAGGAGTACGTAAGATTGTGTAATGATTCTTAATGCACTTTTCTCGGACTGTTATTTTAGAAAAGTAGCTTAAATACACTGTGTATTAGAATTTTATCATTGCAAACCAACAGCAGAAAAGACTTCCATCGACTGAAAAACAAAAAAGACATTCTTATTAAGTGGAAAATCAATCACCACAACCACTGAATGTCTCAGCTCAACATCAGCAAGAAGCACTGATAATTGTTAGTTATACACCCGCGCAAGTGATGTATGTCCTCGGTTGAGGAAGTGGGTGCCAGGTTTTTAGAAAACTGTACATATATTGATTTTGCATTTATTTAATGTGGCCATTGTAAGACACTTTATTCTTCTGATAAACTATGATTGCTTATCAAAAGATTCTATAATTCAAGAGAAACATTCATAACTTGTGTGAAAATGAAAACCACCGGCCCACAGAAATCATGCCCACAAAATCCAATTTTGTGGATTTATGGCAGAAAGGCATTAAACTACTTGTCTTGCAGGGACTGCAGACTAGTCACTGAAGTATAAGTGGCACAGCAGTAATGATTAAGGTGACATGTCCCCCTGCCACAGCTGTTAATCAGTTTAATACTAGTTACTTTATTGACATTCTTGTAATTACTTTTCCTAAGGCACATTTGTGCGACATATATTTTACTTTAATTATGAGCAATCGGAAGCGAGTCCAATACCCAAAAAGAATAATCAAGGTTCTCCTAAAGCAGGTATACAGTAAGCCGGGTGCGTTTCCAAGCCCCTGGAGTTGGAAACCATCCCAGGCCTCAGAACCAGACCGTGTTTTCCACGTGCCCATGTCATTGCCATACCTTGCCATCCTCCGAACACACGCCCATGTGCTCTCCACTCTCATCCAGACTAATCTGATTTATCTTCACGGGGCTCTATTCAAACAAACAAACAAATAAACATGTAAAACTTCAGGAAAATATATGCATCAACAACCAAATTCTTTGCTCTTTGTAATATTTCAGTGAGACAAACGTCTATTAGTTTAGATGTGTGAGTGTAAGACATATTTGGTTTTTGGAAATGAAAATGGTAAAGTACAGCTTTGCTCTCACACACATAATAAACCTGGAAACCTAAGACTTCCCAAAATTACTAAATAATCCACCCTTCTTCTGAAGAGAACTGTTTGTCATATAATAAATATTCACCTCAGATATCTTTCTGGGTTTTCAACTGTGGTCTCTTTGTCCATTGCTGTATCAATTCATCATTGATTTAATTATAATACACATAGTATGTTCTGTTGTCTGGTAAAAGGCAAGACCAAGCCATAGTTCTCCACACTTTCCTTGGGTTTTCTCAGGATTTGTAGGGTTCTGTGTGAAGTTAAAGATGAAATAACCCTCATGGTGCTAAACAGAGTGGTCAGCGTTCAAGCCTAACTTACTTTAACTAACAGGAAGATATAACACTGCTGGTAACTCTCCCCTTCTCTTGGCTTCCAGGATACCACACTTGTCTGGTTTTTCTTTGACATTTCCAGCTCCCCTTTCTGTGTCTTTGGTCAGATTCTCCCAATCTCCTGATTTCTATATTTCATGGTTCAGTCCTTTGAGGTTCTTCTAACATTTGTGTTTTCTCCTTTGGTTATTTTCTTCCAAGCCATGAACTGACTCCTAAATTTTATCTCTAGACTGGGCCTCTCCCTCTTTCAGACCAATATTTAGAACTGCCTATTTTACAGATGTACTTGGATGCCTACCAGGCATCTCAGCTAAAGTATATCCCAACCCAAGATCCCAATGCTCCCTTATGAAAGAGCCCTTCTTAATGTTCCCCTGATCCCAGTTACAGACGACTACATTCTTCTGGCTACTCGGGGCAAAAAACCTTGGAGCCATTCTTGACTTCTGTTTTTCTTTCACACTCTACTGTGTTTCTGTCAGCAATTCTTATTATCACGTAAACCAAATTTATCGAGACTTTGGCCACTTTCACCAGCTCTAGAGTTGCCATCCAAGCCACCATCATTCTTGTCTGGATCATCCTAATAGTTTTATAACTAGTGGACCCTGCTTCTGCTGTCATTCTCCCAGAAGTCTGTTCCCCAAAAATCAGCAGAAAGATACTGTTAACAGATTGACCAGACAATGTCATTGCTTGAAAATCTGCCAATGGTCTCCCATCTCAGAAGCAAACCCCAAGTTCTTACTATGAGCTGAGAGTCCTCAACAATTTGGTTCTAGCCCTCACGCCAACTTCTCCCCTCATCTACACTCTGCCTTGTTCTCTCTCCTCCAGCCACGAAGACCTCCCTGCTGTCTTCCTGCCTTAGAGCCTTTGCACCTGTTTGCCCAAGATGTACTTCCGCCAAATCTTCACAGGTAGTCATCTTAGCCATGCTCTCTGGCCACCGACCTACAATTTCAACATTTACCCAAACATCACAATCCTTTACCGGCTTATTTTTCCCCTGCAGCACTTACCACTACTTACCTTACTATGTATTTTACTTATTTACCTTTTTCACTGTCAAACTCACTCACTACAATATTAAATTCATGAGAGACCGTTCAAAGAATAAAAAATTCCCATCACACACAAATTTTTCCAGAGAACAGAACAGAAAGGATATGTTTCCCAAATCTTTTTAGCAAGCCAGCATACTCTTATAATAAAAAAGCTCAACAGGATATTATGAGAAACAAAAAGTACAAGTGAATCTCGGTCATGAGCATAAATGGAAACATCCTAAAGAAAATATTAATAAAGTCAGCATAGATAGAAAAGCCGAGTTTATTCCAGAAATCCTAAGTTGGTATAATATAGGGAAATGAACTAATATAATTCTCTGCATTAAGAAAATAAATGAAGGATATTCAAAGATCATCTCATTAGCTGCAGAAAGTTATCAAACTCAACACCATTCCTGGTTAAAAAAAAAAAACCTCTTTGCATTCCTGGTAAAAACTCTTGGGATGAAAAGTCCTCATTTTCACTTAATGGTGAAATGTTGAAAGCTTTTCTTTCAATATCTCTATAATATTGACTCTTCTAAGCCATTTCTCCACGTATTAGACCTTCTTTAACATCTCCAAATAAAATTTGATAATTTTCCCCTTAGCAGTCTTACACTTTATTTTATTCCAGTAGTGGCAATGTCTGCAAGTACCCTTTTCTCCTTCCTGGTATGTATAACAGGATTCTGTTTATACAACATACAAAAATAGACAAAATTCTATGACAGCACAGAGGGGGCACACAAAGAGGGCAGAAAATGAAAAAGAAAAGCCAAGCACTTTCAGTTATAAAGGGTCCCGTTAAGGCGACTTTGAGCAGAGGGGGATTTCACACCATCTATTCTCAACACAATGCTAGTTACATGATGGTTTGACTTATGACCACTGTTTCACTGAATATTTTATGTGCCTTATCAAGTTGTACCTCACAATAAAAATAAACATTAAAAAACTTAAGGTAAAATTAAAAAGAGTTTGCGCATGAAAACGTCTGGGGTTAATACCTTCTGTGGCTTATTTCTTAGATCACATTTTTTTCCTCCATGACTGTCAAGGAACTCAAATGTTCTCATTCTGTTCTGGTCATCTTGGTTTTCCCAGAAAAAACTGCATTTCATATTCTTGAGATGAAAATTTTTTTGTTACCTTTTCCTCTTTTAATATTTTAATAATACTAATGATATTACTACTACTATCACTGAGTTAACATTTCCTATAGGCTTATTGGGCATCAGGCTCTAAGAGTTTTATACATGTACCATTTATGCAATTCTAGGAAGCAGGTACTATTATTTTTCCACCTCATATTTGCAAATATGAAATTCATTTTTAATGTTTTCTATTTTATTAATTTCTTATTGTATATTAACTTTCCCTTTTTGGCTTAGAACAATTTTATTGACCTTATTCTAACTTCCTGACATTAATATAGTGTGCTTTAGTTGTTACTGCTCATCTAGTAACCATAAAATAATCAAGTGTCTGGCATTTACCTTATTATGTAAACTGGTCATAAATTAGAGGCAAAAAATAATGTACAATACAATAATTATTTCCTCTTTGAGAAAAGTAACATTTTGTTTTATTTCTAAGAATGGTGACAGCATTATTTGGTTACTTATCTAGTTATTAATAAAATTCTAGTGTAACTACAATTGTGGTCAGAAATGTGGTTCGTATATTTTTTAAAAATTGTTCTTTGAAATCTGAGCTATTCATTTCCAACTAACACATATTCTCTGGTTCAAAATACACATATTTTTAATGTTATTTTTAATATCTAGTTTCTATTGGTTCAAAATACACATATTTTTAATGTTATTTTTATAATCTAGTTTCTATATAACCTTAGTTACTCTCTTCTTCACTCATCAAAGACTGATAGAAACATGTTTCAAAAACTTCCCATTACAACTGCAGTTTTGCCCATTTCTCCCTGCATTTCAAGTAAGTTTTGGTCTAGATATTAGATGCCCTATAATTGGGTACATCAAAGGTATGAAAAAGTTTCCTTTTACCCGTAAATGTAATCAATATAATATGTGGTCTGCTGGCTAATTCTCTTTTGCTTTAAATTCTACTTTTTCTTGCATTTTTATTGCCAATATGCTTAATATTTATTTCATATCAAAGCTGAGGATATTTTTCTTTTAGTTAACAGTAAAGTATTTTATACTTTTTAGAATTATGTTTCCTTATTCCATTATTACTTTTTTGCTATATTACTCAAATTCTTTTGTCTATCTAGGGACAATTTAAATTCTGTTCATTCTATTTGTATTCTATTAGTGATTACTTAAAAATGTTTTAGGAATTATACTTGAATTATCTCTCGCTCCAATCAGTACAATGGCATACACTGACTCATTTAGAAGATGAGGTATTTAGCCCATGTTTATTTACTACCTCTTTCCTTTCCCTATTTTAATGTGAAAGTACAAATATTTTATATTTCATAAGTCACACCAAATAAAATTGGAGAGAAAATCCAGTTAATACATCAGTAAAAATAACAACCTTAAACTATAAGTTCTAAGCATGAATCAATCTAGAGGAAAAAACTATTTAGCTATTGGGATGTCCATAATTTTAAAACTGATTCATGAGAGATCAAAGATTAGGGTAAATATCCCTCGTCATGTACATTGCAAAGAACTTTACAGCTTATTCTTCTTTAGTTTTTGAAAATATTTGGACTTCTTATTCATGTAACTCAAACCAAGTAAAACAGTCAACTCCCAAAAGAAATAGTACAAATTATAGGTAAACAAGAACAGGAGTCAACCTTAGTAATAACAAATAACATATAAATAAACAAGATATTTTGCTTATGGAATTGGCAAAGATTGTTTAAGTATCTAGTTTTGGCAAAGAAGTCCCCAAAGAGACACTCCTTGTCCCCTACTGGTGGGAATTCAAATATGGAGAAATTTTCCTAAGGATCATTTTGCAATGTGTATCAAAAATCTTTAAAATATGTATTTTCTGGGGCGCCTAGATGGTGCAGTCGGTTAAGCAGGGCTGTGAGACTGGCCCTGCTTTGGGCTCTGCACTAAGTGTGGAGTCTGCTTAAGATTCTCTCTCCCTCGCCCCCTTCTACCCCCAGTGCTCGCTCTCTCTCTCTCTGAGATAAAAAATTAAATCTTTCAAAAGACATGTGTATTGCCTATTTTACACAAGAAGAAGAGGGGCGCCTGGAGGGCTCAGTCGGTTGAGCATCTGCCTTCGGCTCAGGTCATGATCCTGGGGTCCTGGGATTGGGTCCTGCATTGAGCTCCCTGATCAGCAGGGAGTCTGCTTCTCCCTCTGCCTCCCCCCAACTCATGCTCTCTAATAAATAAATAAATAAATAAATAAATAAAATATTTAAAATAACCAAAAAAAAAAAAAATTGGGGCGCCTGGGTGGCTTAG